GCGTAAATCTTCCATTTTATGCTCATTAACCCTATTTATGATATCTATTTACCATATTTTTAAGTTGATTTATGACAGGTAGTTGAACATTCCCACTGTTATTAGTGGACCTTATGTTCCCATTGCATTTCACATTGCGTTGCTTCTCAAAATGTATTCTCATCCAGGATAGACTGCAGTTTTGACCTCAACTAGGTTTAATTAGCTCCCCTAGTGGCACTCAAATTGTGATAATGCGTCATATAATCTTGATAAGTTAATTACTATGCCACACCTTATCTAAATGGGATAAATACGTTTCATAAATATGGTCTACAGCTAGTCTTGAAAAACTACTTATAAACGAGAAATAATCTTAGTATTAGAAGATATGATGACTAAAATGGTGTGCTTCTTATTGATCGTATTTTGATGTATTGAGTAGGCTTACCTAGTTATCGCAACTTGATCGTGTTGTCAGGGCAAATTGTTGGGGGGACTTTCATTTCGTACGAAAGTGCATGAAGAAGAGATTCGTAGGTTGATCTCATCTGAGGAGGACGGATAAATCCTATTGTACCGTAGCTGTTTGTCTTTTATACGACGTTCAGGTTGACGCAGTCCACTCGAGTAAAAGTTACAGGATCTATATGAAAGATAATTAACCAAACCATTCTATATCTATCTAGGTTTTTAATTTTCTTTTGCTTAATTGAGTCTATATAATAGGTACGATATAGCTAGATAGTCTTCTTGACCTTGCGTTAACGTGAGACCCAGCTCTGATCATGTCAATTATATGATGATCTAAGGCTCGGCCCGTTTTCACCCTAAGCGTGGGAGGAGGTCTTGTGGACTGCGTCTACCTAAACATCGTATAAAAGCCAAGCGGCTGCAGTACAACGGGATGCATCCGTCCTCTTCTGATGAGATCGACCTACGAATCTCTTCTTCATGCACTTTCATACTAAATGGAAATATCTTCAACAATATTATCTCAGGAGATTCATCAGAATCCGGTTTCTATTCGTATCTACATTTAATGCACCTTGTTTGATGTATTTGACTATAATAGCTATCATAATTTCCAGCGTTGGTCAGTGGACATCATATATTCCCAGACGTCTCGCTGGCATCGTCATTCAGTTTGCCATGCTCAACATCAAGCTATACTTCGCCAACGAGACAAGTGAACTTAATCCCTTAACCAACTTTATGCCGAAAAGAGTGTGCTAACACTCCACTTATTGTCTCGGCCTCTATTTATTCCCTACCTTTTTCTCACACTTCCGCCCTATCACAACTTTTTATTTTTTATATTCCACTCCTCAAGAGATGTGTCCTTTTTGGCGAGTCTAATGTATCGTCATAACCTGCTGCTTAACTTTTTCCTTTCTCGATTTGCTGATCTGACTTAGTCCTCCTACCCAGATCTCCTTAATGGGCCCTTAGATCCGTTTCTTATTTTTCTGGTTGATCTATTTCACGTGGTTCCAATCCCAATGTACGATTTACTTCCTGCGCAATTTTTAAGCCTTTAAAAGGAAGATAAGAATTAGAATACCTAGTCGGATTAGCAAATCGAGAGGGAGGAAGGGAGGGGGTAGTTTAACAGTAGGTGTTAGTAAGCATTATACTCGCCAAAAAGGGCACACCTCTTGAGGGATGGGATGAAAACAAGTCAAGTTATCATAAGCGGGAGTGTAACAGGAGCGTATGGAGTAGAAAGATGGGTCAGGATGGAAAGGGAAGTGATATCACAAATGTTTAGGCATAAATTTTGCCGATGGAATAATTTCATACGTCTCTTTAACAAGTTGTAGCTTGATATCGAAAATGGCAAGATTGATTGACGATGCTGAAAAATTTCTGGGAATGTACTAAGTCTACGGTCCCATGCTGGGAAGTACGATAACTGCTATAGTAGAGGACTTCAGGCAAGTCGTGTCCAACTTTAGTATTGTTTTACTTTTCATCATCAGGTTTTCGAATACATTTCATATTATTTCACTCTTTGATATAACTTCTGCTAGACTCTCTCTTTTTTCCTATGATTATTTTGTACATTTGTTATATCTTTTCTTGATTTCTTATTTTAAGTGGTATCACCTCTTACCATGGAACCAATCTCATCCAGTCTCCCCACTCGCCACCAACCTGGCTTCCAACTGAACAACTTGCCCGACTTCCCCTGTCTCAGGCCTGTCCGCTCTTAGGTCTTGCTGTGCCGGAGCCCCGGCTTTTTCAGGGCTGGCTAGTTGTGCTTTCTGCAGGACAGAGTACGTACTTCCATCTGCATTCTCTTATTTCATTTTATAGATGACTCCATTAGCCTACCGCTTTTCTTTAAAGCCTTATAATGCTGCTCTTTTTTTTTACTTATTTTTCGTTTGTTACACTATTTCATCGTAGTTGACTGAATTTTGATATTCTTAGATTTTATAGATTTTTGGAAGTTTTTTGATCTTGTTTTCACAACTTGGTCACATTAGTAGGAAGACTTATAAGAACGCACCTAGTCTGAAGTTCATTGTATGCATGATCATTTACAAAGTCGGACCGTGGACGTGGTACATTTCCAGACGTTTCGCCGGCATCGTAGTCGGAATCGTCAGTGAGTCTCGCCATTCGTAACACCATAGTACAGCTCGTCAAAATGCGTTCCTCCAAGTCTTCCTATCAATGTGACCAAGTTGCGAAAACAAGATCAAACAACTTCTATACAACTATAGAAGACTGCGACTACACAAAAGGCCACGCCATCTTGGTCTTCACACCTTCGTTTATAGATTTTTCTTCTTATCTGCATATTTTTACGCTCTGTCAATCTGATATGTAAAAAAACATTTATTATTGGATATTGTTTATTTTCCGTTTATAAGTAGTTTATCGAGACTACAAGTGTATCTGATAATAGCCCTATTCACTATATTTCACTTCAGGTGATGAGGGATTTATAGTCGAATTATTCCTCACCTATATATGTATGTCTGGTGCTTTTATTGAATTTTACATATCTCTACTTCCAAAAATCTGTTCACGTCCAGATGGACTACCACGAGTGTTCTTTGATCACAGGGCAGAAATAAATATCTGGGAAGCCTATGCCCCCACCTTACATTTTACTCTCAGGATTGTCGACCAGACAAGGTACTTATTTTCCATTTATAAATAGGTTTTTGAGATTAGAAGTTCTGAATTAAGAGCTAGATTCACACAATTTTGCTTCAGGTGCTGAAGTACTTATTATTGTGGGAAATTTATCTACCAGTCCCTTATAACCTTAATCGAACTAGAGCGAATAAAGTAGTCTCAAAAACCTTACAAATATAAAATAAATTATGCAGACAAGTTCTATAACAAATAAAACTCTGCTTTTTTGTCAGATGCATAGCATCTTTCATTTAAAAATTTTATTTCCTGTCACTTTCATAACAAATTTAGTATATCTTTATATTTCGTTTGAAAAGCTAGTGAAAGCTATTCCTAGACTGGCATCACAGGCACCTGAAGAGGAATTACCTTGGAATCGTGACTGACTGCGTAGTAGTCCTTGGCGCAATGTGCTGCGGCCATGATGGATCCTTGCTAAGAACCATAAGATCAACACTAAAGGCATGAGCTTGGATCAAGGATTCTATTTATCCATATGATAAATCATAAAAAAGGACACTTGTGACGGCTACTAAATTAGCTGTGATTAGTTAAGCTGATTAGACATACGATAAGAGCGAAATGTGAATTTGCTGATATTTACTCTGAGTTGTGGTATTGAGTTTGTATATATTTATCGCATCAAGATAAACCATTGGAGCTACAATTGGTGAAAAAGAATTTACTAGCAAATTTTTTATTGTGTCATAAGTTATTCTTGTGTATTATTTTGTGTCTAATTGCGTTGTAACATATATGCATTCGCATCCTGTTCGCCTTGATGCTGAAAACATATACGCTCATAATACATGACATATCATTGGTGGTATTGCTAATACAGTGTCATATTAGCTACCTCTTTCTTAAGCCTTATTCAATGAGTCTATTTTTAAAAAAAGGCAGTATTGTTAATTATTTCGAAAAATAGTATGGCAGTTAATTTTGTTATTTATTTCATATTTGCAGCTAAATAAGATTAAACATTAAACATGCCATATTTGGAACTAAATGGGATGCAATCAATAATAGGAAGTCTCAATGACATGCTTAACTTCCGATTCCTTTGGCTGATGTTGATGCCTGAATTCCTTAATTTCTTATCATGTCGGAATCTATGGATCTTATCTATCCTATCCACCAACCGTCCTCTTATTTTCTGCAATTCGATAAAGTCCTGAAAAAATAGCTAAGAAAGAGATAGTCTAGTCTTTATTTTGGTTCTAATCAGGTCATGTAATTTGTCTATACTTTTTTGAGTCTAGTCTTAACCAAACCACTTGATACATACTCCAGTTTCCTATTAGTTAAAATAGGTAAATACAATATAATACAATATCAAGGAACTGCATTATGTGAAATACAAATTTTTAAAAATCTTATAGTATTGACTTGCTGGGATATAGATTTCTTGATTTTTGTATAGCCAGAAGAAAGTTAATAAGAATTCATACCATATGTACGTAGTATTTGCGAAGAAAGGTAGGGTTTCGAGGAATCTCTAGACTCAAAGTAAGTATAGACAAATTACATGACCTGATTAGAACCGAAACAAGGACTAGACTATCTCTTTCTCAGCTATTT